CAGTACTCTAGCTGCGGTCTCACCAGGGCCGAGTAAAGCGGGAGGATGACTTCCCTGGTTTTGCTTGAGATGCATTGGTGGATGCACGCCAGAGTTTGGTTAGCTTTGCCAGCCACAGCATCACATTAGTGGCTCATATTCATCTTGTGGTCAATCAAGACCCCCAAGTCCCTTTCGGTCATGGTGCTAGCAAGCGTAGCATTGCCAGACTTGTAGGTATGCTGGGGGTTCTTCCTACCAAGGTGCAGCACCTTACACTTCTCAACATTGAAGACCATCAGGTTTTGGTCGGCCCACCTTGCACACATGTCCAAGTTGGCCTGTATCCTTAACCTGTTCTGCTGTGTGACCTCCCTCCCCCATAATTTGGTATCGTCCTCGAACTTGGCCAGTTCGCATCCGACTCCCAAATTCAGATCACTGATGAAGATGTTAAAGAGTACCGGCCCAAGTACCAAGCCCTGAGGGACTCCACTGGTCACCCTGCGCCAGGTTGATTTGCTCCTGTCGACTAGTACTCTTTGGGTCCAACCCCGTAACCAGTTGCCTAGCCATTGGACCGTACGATGATCAAGGCCACAGTTCCCGAGCTTAACCATGAGGAAATCATGGAGAACTAGGTCAAAGGCCGCCTTGAAATCTGGATATATGATGTCCATGTCATCTCCCTTGTCCAGGGCACAAGTTACGTGGTCATAGAAGGAGATGAAGTTGGTCAGGCAAGACTTGCCAGTCACAAAGTCATGTTGGCTGGCATTCAGAAGCTTGCCTTCCATTTTTGTACATGAAATGAAGACAAAATGATGTTTCCTAGTGATGCTCCAGTCCCTCTTAGCAGGTAAAGGATTACTACTCTTCCCCCCCCCACCCCATATCAAATAAAGAGGCTATAACCTGCCTTTTTATTGATTACACCTCAGAGCATAAGAATTAAACCCTCCACTCTATGCCTGCCTAACAACCTGCCACAGCACGATACAGATCCTCAGCTCTACCTGCTGGGGGAGATGCAGGAGGGAGGAGGGGGCTAGGAGTTCATTGGTTCCACTTATGTCTGCATAACGCCTACCAGAATATTGATTTAAAAACACCTGTGTCACTGAAACTTTGGGAATGGGACTGAACCAATTTTACTGTGCACTTGGAATATGCTAATTAGCTGGGCCTGTGTACCTGGGAAAAATACAATTCTGTAAGCGAGGAGTGCTTCTCATCTCTTTTCCTATGAATCTATGAACTGGA